TTTTGTCAGTGCCGACCATAAACGTAATAAGTATAGACTGGATAGATGGTTAAGCCGAGAGCACAAGCTTTTACATAAAGCATAAAGCATAAGCATAAGGAAATTGATTGGTCTATATATAAGCATAAGCAAATGCATAAGGAAATGGACCAATCAATTTCCTTATGCTTATGCGTTATGCTTTATGCAAAAGTCTGTGCTCCGGCCATTAACTTTTGCTATGCTGTGATGACATAGCCGTGATATAATGCCGTCTAATGTGATGCTGTGTGTGTGAGTGGATGTGTGCGTATGTGTGGGTATATGCTGTGTTGTGTATATACACACGCGCGTACACACCCACCACTCACTCGCATACACACCTACACGATACATGCAGCACACACACGCACGCACATACACGCATATGCACGCACAGGCGCGCATACGCACGCACACGCATGCACACCCGCTCCGTACTCCGTACCCGCCATATTCAAATAAAAATTATTTATCTTGCGTTTTAAACAAAAACAAATGTTGGAATTATAAATTTAACCGATTATTAATAATGTACAAACAACGTACAAACGATTAAGGGGATGCTGGAGTTACCGGCCGGACATTATATTTTTTCGAACAAGAATATCTTTTTATTGGTTGCATAGAATTGTAAATCCTTTTGCAGGAGTAAAGTGTACACAAAAACGGAATTCGGGCTGCTCGACTTTATTTGGAAAAAAAGAATTAATAACAAAATTTGTTTCTATTCATTAATTTCTATTCTGCTCTTAGGATAACATATTGTATAGAGCTATCTATTTTTGTTTTTATAAAAGTTTAACAGTTTTAAGACGCTGAATAAGAGCAGCCCGAATTGCGGACTGCAGAATAGAATGTTACGGAACCATTAAAATTGGGCTGAAAAGTCTAATGTAAAAAATATTCTTGTCCGACTATTTTTACATACGTGTGCGTCCAATATCGGTATAACAGATGAAAAAATAACAGAAGATTAGTTCCAAGATAATATCAGAGAGGCGCTATACAATAATAT